ACGAGGTAGTTTCATCCGTGGTACCCGTCTCCTCGTTACAATTGCTCCCACGACAAGAGTGGGATCTGGACTTGAGGAAACAAGTGGGCAGCGGAACAGTTGAGTGTAGCTCGAATCCTTGTAACCGAGGTTTAAGAAGCGCACGCACGCGAGTCACGTTCAAATTCATCCATGCACTTCCCGCCATTCGTAGAGTAGATAGTATATTGTCAAAGTCATCTGGGAACAATATAATAAGAGAGCCTCTAGCTTGAGGACAACTGGCACATACCGATAAACATCCTTGGCAACCTACATTGTTTGAATTTCTACCATACCCTCGCTCTGTTAGGTTTCACGAATCACATCTCTCCCAGCCTCAAAGGACAAAGGTTACATTCTTGCTCAATTGAAATGTCGGTAGCAGCATTTGGGGAATTTAGATAATATAGAAGTCTGAACAATCGAGATCGACGCTCGCAAGCGTCCGACGAGCTTCCGAATTAAAGGAAGATTCGATGGGTCTCTTCACTGTTCGCTGTTGACCGGTAAGTAGACTAAGAGTATCAGTGGCGAGGAGTCGAGGGCAAACTAGGAGGAGCCTGGCTGATGATTTGGACTCGAATGTGAGCTCCGTATCGATGTTCATGTCAAGTTGCACATACCACCAGGAAGGGGCATCGGATGGACGACCACAGCGTCTGCTTGATGAACGACCGCTCGATAACGGGAAGTGTATACTACTGGATGAGCGACTCCCGTCAAGTGTATACAAATGTTGACAACTCTCAAGGCCTTGTAGTCTAGAGGTACGATACTTGCTTTGGGCGATTCACAATTGCAAGTGGCCTGGGTTCGATTCCCAGCAAGGCCCTTCTTTTTTTTTCTCTTTTGTTCAGTTCTCAACTTTAAAAATTATTCAAGTATGTGCGTAGATCTCGTGGTTTACATTTCTAAGGTCTCCACGACGGACGAACTTAGACTCGTGACCAGTCCTACCCTATATGAAGCAAGCCGTCGATAGACGTAGGGTAGGACTGGTCATGAGTCTAGGACGCCGACGAACTACAGGCTATGGTCGAATGCTTTAAAGATGCACAAACGATCAGTTGTTGACTATATGGGTTCCCATCATCCATCTACTTGCTTATAAAAGTTGGAATTAGCATCTGATACATATCCGTCCGTTAGATAGTAATTTATACACCAAGTTAGGAGCAATGAGGAAATCGGGATATAGAGATGAAATGTCGAATAACGAGGATACATGTGCGTTGCGGAAGTCCAAGGGAAAGAAAGGCTGAGAGCATGCAATACCAATTAACCACATATACCGTTGTCTATGACCATCCCGCAGCGCTTGCACTTGACCCTCCGGTCAAGAAGGCAAAGGCCAATGCCCAATGGGAACCAAACTATTGCAGCCAAAATGCCTAAAGAAAGGCATGAGCCAACTGCTTTCCCGCTAGCATATGATTGTCCCTACCTAGAATGCCGAACTTGGTTTCATTAACATGTTGCCCTTCCTGCAAACATATCATTTCTGGGTGGTTTGGGGGAAGTAGCGAGGCGATGTGTTCGCCAGTCAAGGGATTCTGATAATGATAGACTGTGGGTTGCTGCATCGCAAGCGTTGTACGAGCGTGAACAGCCGTCACGGTGTTGGGAGGTACTGAAGGCAGCTGCACTTGGTTCGCGGTCTTGTCACTCACCAAAGGTGGCTGTCGCTGTTCAACATCTGAAATCATGGTAAACCACTGATATAGTATAATACGAATGTGAAGACAGACTTGAACTAGCCTGAGCTGCGACGTAGTCGTAGGAAGGTGGATTATCTGCACTACTATGCTTGACCACCTGAGGGTTCATTAGCACCGGAGTTATTAAGTTTACATATATTCGACAGGGACTCACCATGTTTGACTGAGGATCGATGATCATTGATAAGTTCTACTACGTGGCTTTTGTATGGGTTCGAAAGCTGCGCACTGCGGCACATAAGTAAGCGCGGCGCTTCAGAGTCACATATTACTACATGCAGTTGCGGATCAGAATTTTGTTTTCCATTGTTTGTTTTGATCTGATATTATTAGAATGCGCCGCCGACTGCCGCAAACCTATGGTAGAGCCCTAGAATGGTCGAGGTGTAGACTAGCCCTGAGAAATATTTATAATATGGTTTTCTCACTATCTCTGTGAAAGGTTTTGTTCAGAGCTGTGTGAGAGCTGGGAAACAGACCTATAGGCGATATTGTGGCTTGATTGTGGCCGAAGAAAGAAATTACACTAAAATTTAAAATGTAACCTTGTTGATTCGAGCTCAAGGGCTCGTTGTCAACCAACACTCACTGTCCATACACACAAACCGTTAGACCATAGATGCTTGTATGAGCTATATGATAATTTGTATACGACAACCAGCAGGTCATCTCATCGCAAATTTCGCCAAGTCTTTGCACCATTGGAGTCCTAATCAGTCTCTACCGTCTAGCAATTATTGTAGTGCAACATGTACTTTGCACAAAGCAGTTCTTGTGATATTCAAGTTCTATATGATGTATTTGCCTTCACTGTACTTAAGTAAATAGAACTGAGTGTATTTTGTGTAGAACACAAATGCTAAAAGCTAGCAAGCGTCGACTTTGAGAGTCAATTTGGGGTATGTAGCTTACATTACTGCACATGGTCGCTCCGTAAATAACTCCACTCCACCCTCCGAGATCCCTGCATGGCGGGCAATGTCCTCTAGTGACCCACCATTTCCGTAACGTCCCATCCGATAGAGTGTGACGGCAAGCTGAGTCTGGATGGGTGTTTGAGGATTGCGTGAATTATCATAGAATGCAGGATAGTCTTCGACTAAACCAAGCAACACCTCAAAAACCATAGGGGAAATTCGAAGCATGATGAGGTATGAGTGTAGGTATTGCTCATGCAATGTGTGACGAGCCATCTGTGATATGTTTATTGTACAGGCCTTCAGCGCTTCAATAACTTCACGCTGCGTTAGCATTGTATTATATAATACGGATATGTACAAAACGGGATGGTGTTGCTACGCTGGGGGGGGTCATAGGCGTGGGCGGTGGGCGTGGGCGAAATGTGCGCCCAGAACTTTGAGCGTCCCTAATATAGAATTTTGGGACAGGATGTTCACGCGAGCTTTTTCATGGGTATACCATAGGTTTGATCCTTAGACCTATGGACGAGCCCTGGATCGGACCGAATCTGAGCTATAACCAATCTGTTGCCCAGGTGGGAAAAAAACCTTTGATAAACATCTGATCTTTACAGCATAATTTATTTATTTATGTACTAAGTCTCTATTCAAGCTCGTATCCGCCTGGTTGCCATGTATTACAAATGGTTTTCTCACTATCTCTCTACGGCCCAAAGTGGCAGTTGGTAGTGTAGGCTAGGAGGGAGTTGCATTGTCATTAATATTGAGAGATATATTCTTGGAAAGATCACTTCAGGAGTATATTAAACCGAGCTATATCTCAACTGTATAGTTTTATCAGAATTGTTCTCACGGGTCAGCAGTAGAACCCCTTGTCAAAACCTGGGGATCTCCAGCTACCGTGGGAACCGGCGAATTTTTATCTGCGAACAACAAATCCACTTGTGCTTCACAACTTCACCCAATTGCTTTGATTGAAGATGGAAAGTGCAGGACCATCGACCCACCATATCGCCCCCGATGTTACATCGGATTCGATGACTTCCAGAGACTAGTTCGCACATTTGCGCATATCTTCTCAAGGAAATTCTAATATCTAATTTTTGCTTCCCTTTTTCCAGTTATGCGGATTCATACGCGCATTTTGGTTTGTTGATCCATCTGGTCGAGTTATTATTACTCTGACATATCTTGACAGGTATTCACGAGGAAATGCTCAAGGACACTGTCCGGACAGGATCCTATCGTTCTGCGATCATAAACAACGGTCATCTCTTCAAGGGTAAAACAGTCCTAGATGTTGGTTGCGGGACTGGTATCTTGAGTATGTTCGCTGCAAAAGCGGGTGCTTCACATGTAGTTGGTGTAAGTGCCACATCCCTATCTCGCTCGTATAATTTCCTGCATGCCTTTGAAGATCGACATGTCGAATATTATCGATCAAGCTCAAAAGATCATAGAAGCAAACGGCTTCAAAGACAGTATGTTTGACTGTATGCTGCTGATACCGTCTTTAGTAACAATGCATTAGCAATTACCCTTGTTAAGGGAAAACTTGAGGAAGCCGAGCTTCCTATCGA